ATGTAATAATTCATAAAATATGTAAGGCCTAAAAAATACATATCGATTACATAAAAAATTACATTGCCCATCCCTATATTAGATACCTAATTAAAGTTTCAGTAGCACTCTTACTTTTTTTATCCAATACTTTTGTTTCCGACAATTCTTTCCACGTAGTAATATTATTTAGTACCTAATGATTTTAAAACATCATTTTGCCATAACATGTTAAATCCTTGGTGTTATTTAGTAATTGAATCGCATGTAGCGTTATTAAATGCAATAATATAAGATCAATTGTTCAAAGGCAAAAAATGTTAAATTATTGACACGTGATTACAAGTATGTCCAGCAATAGCAACAAATATTTGCAATATTTTAGAATAATGCAATGATGACTTGCATCTTTATCACATGTTGTAACCGAATAAGTCGCTCCTCGTTTTAATTCTATATATGCATAACTCTTATCAGAGTCTTTGGATAAGTCAATCACTTCATGAGTTTCAGGAAAATAATCGGGAAATTTTCTTTCTTTTTCATCAAAAGTTGTAGCAGTTAGACGAGCAGTTAAGATGTGTACAATAAAACGAAATTTCCTAAATTAAATTGAGTAATATGTATTAAATCTCAAATTGATTACATAGAAATCAAAAATATAGTCAAGTTTGCATTCATCTTTTGAGGGTGACTTGATTATCGGTAGAAAATCTTCTTGCTTTATGCCTCCATAAGTAACTTGCAACTTTCTATTATTGGAAATCTCTTTTTTCCATTTAATTAATAACGTTTTCTAATTAATTAAAATTTGTCGTACTGATAAAAGACTTTTAACAAAGGATAGTGTATTGGATGAATTATTTTTATATGGAATTTGTTGATCCATTAGAACTCGAATTCGACCAAACGGAAAGTACGATTCATCATATTACAATATCTTTAAATATGTACCTGCAATTATCATTTGAATACTGTTACAAGCTTAAAGTTCAAAACAGAAATATTGTCAATAATTAAAATTTTACTTACCATAGACTAAGAATAAGATTCTTGGTTGACTTCGAATTTGAATGATTATGTCCTTGGATAAATACTTGTTGTGAGCTTGTTTGAAATCCTTTATCATATTTCTTGTACAATTTTTTCCCATTTTAATAAGTTTATGTCGATCTGATTCCCACTTGAATTCATCGATCATGTTAAAAGGTGGGCCGGCAACTACACAATAAGCAAGTGTGACGGATGTTTCTTCATCGCTCCAACAAACTCTTGAATCAGGACGTTTTCCATAGGACTTATATTTTAATTTAGAAGTAGTTTTTTTTGTAATTTTCTGATCGATTGTTGCCGTTTTGCAATTCTTTGTCGCTTGATCGACGTTATCACCCTTAATAAAATTTATTATTTATTATTTGTAAATTATAAAGCTCATATCTATTTTGCTTACCACACAACCGAAATCTTTTCATGAATATCATTCGAAATAACTTCAATAAGACTGTCTACAGTAAGTTTGGCCCACGTACTCTCATCCATCTTATATCCCTTTTTATAACTTTGCAATGGCCCGTTTTGTTGCAATTTAAATCTGCAAAATTGTCTTATTAGTTAAATAATAATAAATAAATGTGACGGCTGATACTGATTTTGGGGTCTATTTTAATACAAAATTGTAAATTTTGTAAGTACTTTTGTTTTAGCTAGTTGGAATTTATGGTTAGAATTGTTAATATAAGAGTATACGTGGGTCTTAATAGGTTGAGACCCCAAAAAATCAGCATCAGCCGTGACAATAAATACATATCGATATACAGATTCTGTAATTTAAAACTTACAATAATTGAAAAAGATTACTGGCTACAGTAGCTCGATCATCAGTAATACGAATTGATGGCGCATTCTTATTTTCAGCATAATGGTTTAAAAATTCTTCTACTTCAGCTGAAAAAGTTGGTTCCTCTATTTTGCTAAGATATTCGTATTTATTACCCAACGTTGAACGAAAGTAATCATAAACCTGACGGTCTGGGTCATCAAAATTTATAATGAAAGATAAAATCGGAACTAGTGTTGGCAGGCGAAACCTAAGAGTTTCGCCACAGACGAAAGGCGAAACTAGTTTCGACTTTCGCCAAAAAAAAAATCAAAATGGCGAAACTGGCGAAAGGTGGCGAAACTGCTAATAGGTGGCAAAATTGGAAAAAGGTAGTAAAATTAGCAAAAAATGGTAAAACTAGCAAGAATAGAAAGGTAATTAAAGAAAATTATCTTTTTTTTATATAATCATCAATATTTTTATTTATATATATAGCATAGCGCGATACTCTTATTTATCACGCATCAATTTGATTGGCTAATTTTGTCGATCATCATTACATGAATTTAATAAAAAAATAAATAAAATTTCAACCTTTTTTAAATTTTTACTAATAATATTATAAAAATAGACGGCTCAGTCTTTTCAGAAGTCTTAGAGGATTTGATCTACGTCAAGTTTTGACTTTCCCTAGGGGTTCAACTTTAGCAGGAGTTTCGCCAGAGTTTCGACGTTTCGTCAGAGTTTCGCCGGGTTTAGTTTCGCCTTTCGCCATTTGTCAAAAATAGTTTCGCCTGCCAACACTAATCAGAACCAAATGTCCCAAACTTTCAAAGTCAATCACTCTAGTAAAATTTTTAAATAATTCATAAATCATTTCCTGAATGCTTGGTTTATCGTAGAAGTTCTAAAAACAAATATTTAGATTTTTAGAAATAAGATTAATAATTAAGTAAATTCTAATAAGAGGTATGCCGTTTATTACATAATCATTTGAGAAAAGAGAAGAACGGCATACTTCTAATTCAAAAAATTCGGTTTTTTAATAGCACTTGTATATTATAAACTAACCACATATTCATCAAGAGCTTTTAAAAATGATATCTCTTTTGAATAAACATCCTTATATGGAAAGGTCTTTATAATTTGATATCCAGATCGTGAAAATGCAATAGTGTTTTTTGCATTTGAGAAAAATCATGAATTTCTTCAGAACCGCCATCTTCTGGTGAACGTTTGTCTTTCTAATAAATAAATAATTGATTAAGTAAAATAATTTCAGAATTTTTTAAATAATCAGTAAAAAAAACAAAATTGTTTTGAATGCGAGCATATGTCATTAGGTAACACTAGAACTAAAATTTCCTTATGTAAGCACATGCACAATACAGCAAATTAATAACAAGCAATACAAGCTATATTTTACTGAATGCATAATACGTACTCATCAAGCAGCAGTGGTGCATTATGGCAAAATCAATTTTTATTTTATTATAAGCTAAATAATAAAATACTATTAAATTTAAGAACAACCTCAAAACGTTTTATTGCTTCTTCATATTTAGTCTCTTTCGTCAAATATAATAATTTTTGAATATTTTCATTAAAAATTTCCGATTTCTTCATTGTTTTCAGTTTTCCACAGGTTATTTCATATGCAATATAGTGCATAACATTGTAGTTAATAGAGTGAACGATTTGATGTCATGATAGAAAGTATGATGTGATGCAATAAAACAATGTAAACAACTTATATAGCCAATATAAACAGGGGTGACCGTCCCAAATAAGGAAAACAAATGTTACACGAGCATTCCGTCCTTGCATATTTTCTAGACCAATCAAATTAGCGGTTTTAGATTTGAATTTCAAGATCGATTAAAATCAGGTCTACCGAATAACTGATTGTAGTGGCAATTAATTGAAATTTTTCGAACTCAATTAAGTGACAATTAGTTAATTAATTGCAATTTTACGTAATAGATTACAAATCGTCATTAGAATTATTAATTACAGTAAATACACCTTGTGCTGTTTAACAAAATTGTATTACAACAGACAGCCTTTTTCGCAGTATAGTGAAAGGTAATTGATTTAATTGCAATTATTTCGTTACTATTTGGGTTTCAATCAATTTTATGATAATTTTAATTGATTTTAATTGTATGATGTATGGTAAAAATTAATCGCAATTAATTTTTCGATAGGCCTAATAGAGACAGTGCCCGATCCAAAGTGAATCTCTTATGCCTGTGATCAATCACAAATTAAAATTATTTATGTTGGATTCAATTGTGATGGATATAATCTCTTATCAGTCTTAATATATGTGTAATATTAACAGTCTCTGCTGTTGGTCTGATTAAAATTAAGCAATTAAATAATATTATAATCAAAATAATTTAACAAAAAATTTACTAAAGTTTTAATTATATTACAATAATGTAGTAATTTTATGTAATAATGAATTTATTTAAAATTTTAATAAAAAATTATGTTTAAAAAATAAATTTTTTGTATTTTCAAATAAATTTATCATTATCATTATATTATTTATTACTGTTTCAATATCTGAATTATTCTTAATCATTTCTTTACTATCATTGTTAATGAATTTATTTTTGCCCAATTTGTTTACTAAACTTGCTCTAATTGCTTCAATGTTTTTTTTTTAATTTGTTCTAAAGATATTCCAAACAAATTAAATATTTAAATTTGCATCTTTGTAAGCAATAGTTATGATATTCATGTTTGCATAAAAGAATATTATTATCATTAGAGAAATTAGTATAGTTAGGAAGATGAAAGAACTCTTTTTTATAGATCCTAATTTACTAAGAAAATAAAAAATCGAATATATACAATATAGAAACAAGTAAAGAAAACTAAATAATTATATAGCAAAAGCTCACTTTGAGTTGAATAACAGCAGTAAACAAAGAAATTTAGATACATCAACAACAAATAAATAAAGATTAAGAGAAAAAAAGATAAAGAGACTACTTCTATAACTAAAGAAGACACACAACAACCTCAGGGTCTCACATCTGAATTTTTCTTTCAAGCTCAGTTACAATTACTAATAAACAACAAAATAACAAGTAAGATATCAAAAAGCAAAGTCAACAACAAACTAAACAAGACCTATACTGACCAAGCAACAAAAAGAAGATGTACACTTCTTTTTAGAGTAAAAAATAATACAAAAAATAGGCAATTAAGCACACCTCTATCAGAAAATGCAATAACATCATCTTGCACCAATAACAACAATAATAAATTAGTTGTAACAGGTTCTAAAAACACAACCATAAGCATAATAGGTAACAATAATGAGCAAATAATTATTTCTCACAACAGCATGCTTTATATTACTATAAATAGCAATAACAACATGCTAATAGAGACAGACACAGATTTAACTGCCAAAAATAGTAATGAAATAACTACCCAATCTGTAGAAAATACCCAAACAACAACTAGCCAAAATACCACATATGACAATAAAGAAAACAACAACAAAATAGAAACAGAATTAGTGAATATAATAGCTAGTCACTAGACAGAACTCAGACCCCAAATCTATAGTCAATAACAAACCAAAATATCGCAATAGAGAAAAGAATGTAAACTGATAATGAACAAGATTATAACCAATTATGAACAAATATCATTTAGCCAAGTATCAGAAAAGATAGCATTAAATTCTTTGATACCAAAAAATGGAATTATGACAAAATTATAGAATTACTTAAAAATAAACAAGAAATTACTGATTTTGTAATACACAAATTACAAATCAAATGTACTAAACACACAATTCATCCTGCAATTGAAGCAAAATTTAGACATCTAGATACTGCATTTTTTCTTACCTTTACTCAAACAAAGAAATTTATACTTCTACATTAAGTGCTTATGAAGAATTGTTCAAGAAAGCATAGTGACATATAAAAACCTAAACACAATTACTATAAAGACAAGGCAACTAGAGATGTAATACACTAAAAACTTTGACAAAAAATTATAATAGATTTTATAACTAATAAAAACTTCAACAAAGTAACTTTTAAGGAAGTTTACCAAATAATCAAATGCTATAGAGGATTTATAAAAAAACAAGCATCTATTAAAACAGAAGATATTTAAGAAGCAATTAAAACAGTATTTGCAATACTATTTGAACCTCTTCTTGCAAACCAAAAGAAATACTTGAAAACATTATATAAATACCGCTATTTAAGCTATCAATCAGCTAGCATACATATACAAAGGCCATTGTTACTTTATTATACAAAATCTTACACTTTGACCAACTATTAAAGAAATATTTTATCAAACTAGAATCCTTGCCAACAGAGATATCAAAGCTGAACCTAGCAGTAAAAGGCTTATTCCTAATAACAAGCCAAAGTGCATTACAAAACCTAGCATTTTACAAGAAAAAATTACAAGATTGGTATGACTGCTCAATTATTACATCAAACTACTTTAACTTCTTACCTCCAAGACAACCACTTCTACTAGCTTACTAGGACCTAAGCAGCAAATACAAACTTCATTTTTCCATCAACATGCAAGATCAAGATAAGATCTACCAGACTTAGTACAGTGACTAAGAGAAGACTACTACTTTAAGAATATTCCAAATAACTACTTTAAGGCCAAACTATTATTTCCAAAAAATGTAAAAAAGATACAAACTCCAGACACCTTTACTTTTCCAATTCAAGAAGATATAATTGCAAAACATTTTGTTAAACAAATTTTTTTGATTTACAAATTCTCATTCCCACTTCTACCAAACATCATGACAGCAAACCCTACTGATAAATCCTAGTTACCTAATGACCCACAACAGATTAATGATTACAACATTACCACTTCTATAACCTTGAGAAAACAGCTAGTAGATACAGCAAGAATGCTTAAAGAAAATTACTACTTTTATCAAATTTCAAAAACCAGAATACAAATAGAAGAACCCACTAACAAAACTAATAAAGAAAACACAGCACCCAATACTAAACAACAATCTGACAAACCAATCATTTCCAATACTTCATTAGCAATCATGGAATACCTAAAAACAAAAAACATAAAAGAAATATATATAGCAATCTCTATAGCAAAACAAGCAAAAGTAAACAAAACTCTTGAATTTCTGTGTCAACACTTTACTATTGAAACTATTTTAGATAAGATTCTT